TTTAAGGCTCTATCTCTCATAGTTTCCGAGATAATTACGAAAAACGAAAGTGCCAAAAAAATTTATCACCAATCGTTAGCAAATTGTTTGAAGATTTTTGCGAGTTAAGAAAAAATCGTCAATGCACTCCTATTATTGTGTAAATTAACAATTCCAATTTCAACTGAAAACTAGAGTTGATGACCAGAGTTTGTAGCAGCGATATCAGACAAGATATGAATGTTTTTTTTGGGCTCAAATGAAAGAGACTCCTAGACCCCACTGGACAATTTTGTCACAATTGCGCTTTTCAATTGAAAACAGACATCTTCTTTAGAGACATTTTTCATCTTTAAAGACTTCTGCACGCCATTTTTCGAGCCGCTCTTTCATTTGAGCCAAAAAAAAAATTCATATCTTTTCTGACATCTCTGTTACAAACTCTGGTAATCAACTCTGGTTTTCAGTTGAAATTGGAATTGTTAATTTACACAATAATAAGATTGCATTGACGATTTTCTCTTAACTCGCAAAAATCTTCAAACAATTTGCTATCGATTGGTGATAAAATTTTTTGGAAATAATGAAATAGAGGGGATAACGCCTTTTTTTCAGAGGTGATTTTTCAAAAAATTATTTTAAAAAAAGTACGAACTAGCAAATGTTTTTTATTAGCTCGCATTTTTCTTCAAAACTACTTCAATGAGGAAAAAAATAAAAATTTGGAATATCCTTACATGAGGGGCTAATTGATCGGATCTGCCGAGTTACCCGCACAGGCAGTTCGCCCAGCCGTCAGATTCGACCGTGGCGCCATCCCTTCGTTGGGATCGTACTATTTGTCCCTTGGGGTCACTTGAACTCCGAGATCTGAGCCTCTACTTTAGTCAATCCTCTTTGGCCTACCCCTTCTGTGCGAGATTGGGCGTGCGCATGACCGGAAGTCGTCGAGTTGTCGTCTATCGAGCGCCCCTACCTCTCCTCCTTTTCCACCGTGGTGTTCCAAAGGCTCTTGGGTAAAGTTTTTAAGTCTTGTCATTTTCAATCGTCTGTTGCTATCAATAGTGCTTGATAAATCATTCAGATTGTATTCACCGTATTTCTTATTGCTCTGCGCCCAGTTGGGACATTTGTCTGGTATTTATCACTTAATTTTTAGCCTCAATCAGATAAAATAAGGTATCAATTTTTCCGTATGCCTGGTCTCTCTCTGTACGAAAGCTATTTCACGCGTTTACATGTAACTGTATCAAAATCTGAGATTTCTCCTGGTATTTTTGTCCTGAAAAATTGACAATTTACTTTCCCCAGGCAATCCCAGTCTCTGAAACGGAGCAGTTGATTCGGATTTGTGCTTTGGAGTAATCATTTGTAAATTAGAAGATTACGTCATACACAACTATCTAACGCTTGGGGTTTTCTCACTTTCAATAGTTGTAAGTGATTTTTTTTATCTACTATTACATCATCAGCATCAATTTATCACTCTTGCCTTGTGGACTAATAACAATTATCTCCTGGAAAAACACAATCTCTCGATCATTTAATTCAACTTTTTTCTTCTCTCTACAGCAATTGCGCATGAACAGCTTGACTTTGTAATAATATAACTATGTATGTAGAAGAGTGGCTTCTGGGTAGAGAGTTACTTGCAGAAATCAAAATGGCAGGCATTATCTGATGAAATGACTTTCGCTTATTACAAACTGGCTATTTGCAATTTCGAATGTTCCAAACATACTGTCAGCAAAAAAAACTCCCAATACAATTTGTTTTTAATGACGATAATAAACCGACAAACGGAAACGGCGGATAAAGGAAATAGTCTTGGAAAAAATTATAGGCAATAAATTCCTTCGATTTTTTATTTCTACTTTGCATATTACGCTCTCTCGCTCACTACGTGACGACGCGCGAGAACGTTTCGGCCAGGGGCCGGAGGGGGGAATTATTTAATCGCGCTTGCGTACAATTTAACTCGACTACAGAGATGGCGACGTCGAAATGGTATGGAATATAGCGATGTGGAGGGGAAAACGGGGGAGAATGAGCCCGCCGCGCGTTGCACGACGGGACGATGAAGTGGAATTTAGGCGAAGGGGGGCAACAAGGGGTGAGGAAGAAACGAACGAGTCGAGTTCACAAAATGGCGGCCGAGCTCTGGCCCGAGACCATATAGTACGTGAATATTCGATATTTTTGTACGATGTTGGGGGTTTATATACCGTAAAAGTTTTAATATTCCGGGTGCGCGTTTATATTTGACACATAAACTATTGAAATATCAGTTAATAGTTAGTTTTTGTGGGTGATATTGTAACTGAGATTGAGACGCGTAGACGGGGACGATGCAGGTGAGTGTGATCAGTGGGGTAGACAATAATTTCTACAATATATCATTGTTTATTCGATTATATTGATATATTATTGGTATATTATTGAATGGCGAGTGTTTGGAATGGTTTTTGGGTATTAAATATGGATTTTAATGCTCACAGTGTTGTTTGGAATAAGCGAAATTCACGTTGCCACATGCCTTTTCATCGTCTAGAGAAGCATTAAAAAGCTTCTAAAATCAGTTTAAATGATTATTATATATTTCTGATGATTTTATGGTGTTGGGCGGGGTCCCCCTGTACTTCCAGTGTAACATCCGTTGACACCTTTGACTCAGTTTTCTACTAAAATTTCATGTTTTTTCACACTCGTATTAACCTATAAGTTTGTTTACATCCTTTCAAATACATATTTTTCAATTAAAATTCCCTTGTTCCACCAATTTTTTCATCTCTAATTATTCTTTGTGATATCCTTGTGCTTTAACACCAGGATATTCAAAAATTTATGATAGACCCATTTTTACAATTTAAACCCAAAGTTTTCATCGTACTGCATCGTATAGCCTCATTGTTACTGTGTATCATCAATATATTTCATGGTTTAGCAGTTTTTTCACCATTGAATCAACAAAATTTGTCTTTAGAGCTGGTTTTGGGAACAACTTAATTACCTTTTTTTGGAGCTATCAAATTGTTTTTCATGATTTTTAAGAGTTTTATTGGTGAAACATATCACAGAGTTGTTGGTAAATACTATTCACGTGTCTTTGTGGAAAATAAGTGGTTGAAAATTTTTTTACCAATGCAATTTGTGACTCAAAATAACTCTAATAATGCGAAAATTACAATTTTTGATTGCTTTTGTATTAAATGAACAAGTAATTAGTGTAAATTCCTGTCGTTTTTCTTTTCTATTGTGATCTTCCGTGGGAAATTCCTTGATTTTGGTCAGAGAAAAATTCTAAATTCTCCAAGAATTTGTAGAAAAAGACCATCAAAGGATAAAAATAATCGTAATAAGGAAAATTTGAAGTATAATCATCATCAAGCAGTGTGAAATATATGAATTATCAATACTATAAAATCTACAACGATATTGATGTAAAATACATTGATAAAATAAATAAAAATTAATTATATAAATAATCTTATTTTCTATATCTCCTTGTTTCATCATTAATATTACTATTATTATTAAAATTCTACGGAGGAGAAGGCAATTTTGAGGGAAGATTTATGTTCTACAATGTTTCAACAAGATGGTGGTTGCTGTGCAAAATGGCTGATTGAATTTAGTCGACAGAGAATCTGCATTATCGCAATTTGAACTTTTCCTCTCGTATCTTAGAATTAAAGGTCGATGGTTCCGAATTCATTTATTCCAAACAACACGAGCAATTAATTTTTTTTTTCCTTAATATATGGAGTTGAAGGAGTCAATATTTTTTTTCAATTTCGTAATTTCAGAAAATTATAGAATCTGAATCTGGCAAAGAGTCCGGATCAGATTCCGATAATGAAAGTAAGAGTGACAGCAGTTCATCAGCAAGTAATTCCAATTCCGATGGTTCTGGAAGCGACAGGTCAGTATTTCATTAATAATTCAATATTCTCGTCAACTATTCGGGCACTAAATAAATTCCCTATCTCAAACTAAAGAAGAATGGCAACACATTGTATTGAAATATGCCACAAACTCATTTAAAAATTCATTGATTCACTTCCGAAAAAGGAAAAAAAAGGGTTAACCCTCGCGTGACATAGTTCAACCTGCTGTGGCTATGAATAATTGATGCAAAAAAGTTATAATATAAACCACGAAATTCCTCACTCGGGGGGTAACAGTGACTCCAGCTCGTCGAGTGCCTCTGGTTCAGCATCGGCTTCTGAATCGGTCAAGTCAGATAAATCGGATGCACCTGCACAAAGCGATAGTTTCCAGAGCAAAAGCTCAAATCACAGCACCGAAACTAAACACAGGCATAAGGACACTAGTCGTGAATGGGATGAGAATCCAGATATCTATGGGATCAGGCGTTCGGGGAGATCGAGGAAGGAGCCTGAGAGGCTCACAGCACCTCGAGAGAGCGACAGCGATGGTCGCAAGAAGCATAAAAAGAAGAGGTAAGATCACTTCCTAGGTTCAGGCTGTGGAAATTGGCGAAATGGCCACCAATGATTGATTCGTCGATGCAACATTCGCTTCAGTAGTCTTCAAAATTCCATAAATTCAATTTTTTTCTTTCAATTCTCTCCTAATTTGAAATTTTATTACGTTTCTGGCAGTTCCCAAAATTCATGGAATTCCGAAAGCTCGGATTCGGAATCGGAGGATTTTGATTCACGAAGAGCACCACCACCTAGTAAATCAATAAATCGACGTGCAGCCCAGAAAGCTAAGGAAAATGCAAGGTCCAGGAAGAAACGTGTCTCCGAGTCATCGGAAAATTCTTCTTACGATAGTGATGATAATCGAAGGTTTGTATTTTATTTCCACAAATAAAATTAATTAATTAATACTTGACAAGAAGATGAAGTTGCAATTCAGGGGATTTTTCAAGGGTCAAAAAATCGTAGGAGCAAACTTCTTTCAAGCGCGAATGAATTTATTTATGACTGAAAATTTTTATTATCATTATGTACTTTAGTTAAAATGAATTTACAGACAAGTAACAAGACGTGCCGGTACATCAGTCAGTTACAAAGAGCAGAGTGACGAGGGCACAGACAGTGAGGATCTCGTCGAAGTGGATGAAGCAACATCAGCATCACAGGCAGAGCCCGACAATGCCGAGACAATTGAACGCATAATATCCCAGCGACGAGGTAAAAAAGGAGTGACCGGTAACGTAACAACAGTCTACGCAGTTGAAGAGAATGGTGATCCAAATCCAAAAGAATTGAGCAAAGATGAGAGTGAAACTCAGTACCTGATTAAATGGAAAGGTTGGTCACACATTCATAACACGTGGGAATCTGAGGATTCACTGAAGGCTCAGAAGGTCAAGGGTATGAAGAAACTGGATAATTTCATAAAACGGGAGAGAGAAATAAAACAGTGGCGTGATTTTGCTGGACCTGAGGACATTGACTACTACGAATGTCAGCTTGAGCTTCAACAGGAGCTCCTCAAGAGTTACAACAACGTGGAGAGAATCATCGCCGAGTATCGTAAACCAGATTCTAACCATCCAGATTATTATTGCAAATGGGAGAGTTTGCCGTACGCAGACTCCACGTGGGAGGATGGAGCCCTTATAATAAAAAAATGGCCGGAGAAAATCAAGGAATTTCGGGACAGAGAGGACTCCAAACAGACTCCCAGTAAACACTGCAAGGTCTTGAAGTATCGACCCAAGTTTCATCAGCTCAAGGGACAGCCAGAGTACATGGGCAAGGGAAAAGAATTAATCCTCAGGGATTATCAGATGGACGGTCTCAACTGGATGATACACTCATGGTGCAAGGAAAATAGTGTCATATTGGCTGACGAGATGGGACTGGGTAAAACAATTCAAACGATATGCTTCCTCTATTATCTATTTCACACTTACCAACTGTATGGTCCATTTCTTCTGGTTGTTCCACTGTCAACGATGACCTCTTGGCAGCGGGAAATGGCCCAGTGGGCACCAGACATGAATTTCGTCACTTACTTGGGTGATGTCACGTCTCGTAATGTTATACGTGAATATGAATGGTCATATCCCTCTAAACGACTGAAATTCAATGCTATTCTCACGACTTACGAGATTGTATTGAAGGACAAAGTGTTTCTGGGGGCTCTCAACTGGGCAGCTCTCCTTGTGGACGAGGCTCACAGATTGAAAAACGATGATTCTTTGTTGTACAAAGCACTGGCTGAATTCAGCACGAATCATCGACTCTTGATAACTGGCACGCCTTTGCAAAACAGTCTCAAGGAATTGTGGGCACTGCTGCATTTTATAATGCCCCACAAATTTGTCACCTGGGAGGAGTTTGAAAAGGAACATGACAATGCAGCGCAAAAGGGTTATTCCAAGCTGCATAAACAACTAGAGCCATTCATACTCAGACGAGTGAAGAAGGATGTTGAAAAGAGTTTGCCAGCCAAAGTCGAGCAGATTCTTCGTGTGGAGATGACGTCGTTGCAGAAACAGTACTACAAGTGGATTTTGACAAAGAATTATAATGCCTTGAGAAAAGGTGTCAAAGGATCGACAATGACATTCATAAATATTGTCATTGAATTGAAGAAATGTTGTAATCATGCATTTCTGACGAAACCCATGGAGGGAGACAAGAAGGAGTCGAATGAGGATTATTTACAGCAAATAATAAGGGGCTCTGGAAAATTAGTATTACTCGATAAACTTCTTGTTCGACTTCGTGAGACTGGTCACAGGGTGTTGATATTCAGTCAAATGGTGAGAATGCTTGATATTCTTAGTGAATACCTGCAGAAGCGACACTTTCCCTTTCAACGACTCGATGGAAGCATCAAGGGGGAACTTCGTAAGCAGGCACTCGATCATTTCAATGCTGAGGGCTCTACAGACTTTTGTTTTCTCCTCTCAACTCGGGCTGGTGGGCTTGGAATAAATCTTGCAACTGCTGACACTGTGATAATATTCGATTCGGATTGGAATCCACAGAATGACTTGCAGGCACAAGCCCGAGCACACAGGATTGGGCAGAAAAATCAGGTGAACATTTACAGATTAGTGACGAAAAATTCAGTGGAGGAGGAGATCGTTGAAAGGGCCAAGCAGAAAATGGTTCTCGATCATCTTGTTATCCAAAGGATGGACACAACTGGCAGAACTGTTTTGGACAAGAAAGGTGCATCTGGCTCCAATAATAATCCATTCAACAAGGAAGATCTCAGTGCTATTCTGAAATTTGGAGCTGAGGATTTGTTCAAGGACGAGGAGGATGGGGATGAGGAGCCGACCTGTGATATCGATGAAATTCTACGTAGAGCTGAAACAAGGGATGAGGCTCCAGCGACAGTTGGTGACGAATTGCTTTCAGCCTTCAAAGTGGCAAGTTTTGCTGCATTTGAAGAAGAATCAGAACCTCTGACACTAGCGAACGAGAATGATGATGAAAGTAAGGACTGGGCGGAGATAATTCCAGAGAATTTTAGAAAGAAAGTTGAGGAGCAGGAGAAATCCAAGGAGATGGAGGATCTTTACTTGCCACCGCGAAGTAGAAAAACACTGCAGCAGATCAATCAAGGTGAGGGGAGGGGGAGAAAACGCAGGAAAACTCAGTCAGATGATAGTGAGGAGGGGGAGGATTCGGGAAGTGGTGAGGGCGAGGGAACTGATGAGGAGAGACCGAAGAAACGTGGGAGACCTCGGATGGTGCCTAGGGAATCAATCAAGAGTTTCACTGACGTTGAAATACGCAAGTTCATTAAGAGTTACAAAAAGTTTCCAGCACCACTCAAGAGATTGGACGACATTGCTGCTGATGCAGAGTTACAGGAGAAACCCATGGCAGAATTACGTTATCTCGGTGAACAGTTGAAGTCTAGGTGTGATGCGTGCATAGCCGAGTTCGAGACAGCAGCTAAAGAGAATAAAACTGCTGAAGAGGAACCGAAAAAAGAGGGGAAAGGCAGAAAACGTGGGAGGGGACCTACTTTTAAAATGGCTGGAGTTATGGTCAATGCCAAGTCTCTTTCAGCTGCTGAAAAGGAGCTTGAACCCCTCGACCAAATGCTTCCAGTTGATCCTGAGCAAAGGGCCAATTGGCACTTTGATGTCAAACTCAAACCAGCCAACTTCGACTGTGACTGGACGTCGGAGGACGACTCGAGACTTCTCAGGGGCATTTACAGTCATGGTATGGGTTGCTGGGAGGCCATCAAAATGGATCCAAGCTTGAAACTCTCTGATAAAATACTGCCGAATGAAAGTAAACCCCAGGTTAAGCAATTAAATGCACGAGCCGAGTATCTCCTTAAAATACTCAAGAGACAAATGGATTCAAAACTCGGTGTGACCAGAACGAGAAAGCCCAGGAAACCTAAAGAACCTAAAGTCGCACTCACGAAGGAAATTGTTGAGGAAAATGACAGTTCAGCGGATGAGAATAAAAAGCCAAAATCTAAAGTTGATAAGCAAGTCGTTACCAAGAAGGAAGAGGATGTATCCATAAAGAAGGAAATTAAGGAGGAGAGCGAGGGGATTGTCTTCGTGGAGGATAAGAAGAAGGAGAGGAAGGTGAAGAAGGAGAAGAAAGAAACGAAAAAGGGGAAGAAGAAGCAGGCAGTTGGTCCAATGCATTTCACAGCGAACAATGAGCCTCGAGCACTCGATGTACTTGGGGATTTGGATCCATCCATATTCAATGAATGCAAAGAGAAAATGCGACCCGTTAAGAAAGCACTCAAGGCACTCGATAGGCCAGATCAAACTCTGAGTGAGACTGAACAACTCGCCAATACACGAGCATGTCTCGTTCAAATCGGCGATCAAATTAATACCTGTCTCTCAGAGTACAAGGACCAAGAGCAAATTAAAGAGTGGCGAAGCAACTTGTGGTACTTTGTGTCGAAATTCACAGAGTTTGACGCGAAAAAGCTTTACAAACTCTACAAGCATGCCACTAAATCGCGGGGCGATAAAGACGCTGATACCAGTGTGGCATCGACCCCCGAGAAGAAAGAGGACAATAAAAGGCACTCAGAGAAGCACGAGAAACAGCCGAGTGAGAGTAAAGAAGTTAAATCGATTAAACGAAAAGTTGAGGACGTGGAGGAGAATTCCAACAGCAGTATTCCCAGTAAAAAGCATTCAGCTAACTCCGCGGCGAATTACAATTCTCCAGTATCCGCCTCCGTAGGCCCCATTGTGCCCACCCAACCTCCCAATCCCTCGTCAAACTTGGCTAATAGTGATATGAGGCACAAGGAACCAAAGGATTCGAAACACAAAGACACGTTGAAGCGTGACAGGGAGAGAGACCGAGATAGAGACAGAAATCATGACAGACTCAGTAATGTTCCTGTGAAGGACGAGAGGATACGAAGAGACAGTGGGGGTTATGGTGTTGGTGGACACTATAGTGGAGGCAGAGATGATGACCATTGGCCACTGCCAAGAGATGGGAGAGATCCACGAGAGGCCAGATTTCCGGACCACAAACGTGACAGATTCGAGTCTTATGGGAGAATGCCTGGGGGATATCATCGCGACAGGGAGAGAGACAGAGACAGGGATCGTGAGAGAATGCACATCAACGACAAACGCAGGTGAGAAAGCCATTTATCCCCTTTCATTATCATTTATTAATAATTTTCCTTGGTTTTTCAGTGATTATTATAGGTATCCATCAGGCCCAACAGGCGGTTACGGCTACGGTGGACCAGGAAGTGGTTATGGAGGTGCTAGTAGTGCTAATTATCCCCCCACTGATGTTCCATCGAATCACTTTCGTGGACGAGGTTACACCGGTGACGGTTATCCAAACGATTGGCGGTCCAATAAAGACTACAGAAGGGAGTATGACAGGAGGCCTCCACCTCCAAACGGCAACTCCTAGTGCACCTTTCTTGCCACCGTCCTCGAGTGTGTCGTCGCTCGACTCTAGGTTTATTCCTAACAATAGGACAACAACTCTTCCCTCTCTTTTATCTGTGTATTAATATAACTATCGTTTTAACCCCAACAGTCTATGAGATACTTCGCTGTTCGAAATTCTGTTTTTTTTTTTTTAATATGATGAACGTGCCAATGATCATTTCGGTTTTATGTGCAATTATGTATAGAACACCTCAATATTCAGTTTTCGACCAATTCTGTACAGAATATTGGGTCGATTGTGTCTACATAAACGCCTTCCTTCGTATTGGTTCTTCGTTTAACGCATGGCCATTCGCGTTTTATTTTTAAATCATTTTTTGTTAAACACTTGTTTATGTACATTCACCTCACTCGACTGTCACCTACTGTACAGCATGTGTACATATTACTTTCTTAACGTGTAAACATTATGGGGAAAAAATTATATGCAAAAGTACTGGAATGTGGATGCGAGTGCACACGTGTGCCTGAATGGATATATTTTTGATTTAGTTCACATTAATCGACGCATATTACTGGTTTAGCATGAAGCAATCAAATTTACTATCATATGTTCATGATATGGGGACGTGAATGGTTCCGATGATTGGCATTCATTGAAGAATAGAAACATTGACTCTTATTTTTCATGTTATGTAATTCAGAATTCAATAGCCTCCAGCATTTAAGCAGTGAATCATCAAATTGTCTTGAATTGGTACGCACATATCGATCCGCTACACAATTTCTAACTTTTTTCATACTCAGATGATTATGACGACGATAAAAGAGGAATAATCCGATCTAATAGAACGCTGATACAGACTATTGGGAAATATTAATGCAGTAATTTAATTCTCTTGTTTTCATTGCCACTTTAGTGTGCATTTGTGTATATAACAAAAATATCGATATTTGTGAATTACGGTAATCACGTGAATAAATCACTGGCATGAGAGGGTTTACTGTCCGAGTATTGAGATTTAATACTGACCATGAAGAAGAGGGCCTCGAATTCTAATTTTTTTTCTAATTTTTTGAGGCACGAACGATGATTGTTCGAAATGACCATAGTGAATTTATAATTTATTACTAGCCAATCGTAAATCATGGATATTGTTGACGTGAAAACAATGATGCGTAAAATCAATGAGATAAGGAAGATTAACTGTAAATAGTAATTGAAAAATTTATAAGTTAATATGAGTAATTTAGATGAATAGTCGAACGATGAGCATATTGTACCATTAAAGAACATACGTCGCATTACTACAATGTATTACTGTATTTTATCAATCTCCAATGTAGAATATTTCTGGAAATATACAAAGTAAATGAATTTTCACGCCGAAGGGTTTAGATTGTCATTTTTTTTTAATTGCAACTAGGGTAAGGCTGAAGATGGTATTCCCCGAAATTTTCTTTCCAGTGCATTTCGATTATATCCCGATAAAGAGCTCAACTCGATCGTATAGTAAAGGTTTCGCCGTTCACGCGGGACATGGTATAAAATAGTGTGAAATTGTGCAAATCGCTCAATTTTCAGGTCAACGGACACCCCTACCATTTTTCGGGGAAACGTGCCTTGTTGGACGAGGAAGAAAATTGTTGGAATTTTCAAAAAATAATCGAATCTTGTGGTGTATCCCCGGGGAAATGTGAGGAAATTTTCTCCTCCATTTCTATCAATGCCGCAATGAGAGGATAAGCATGCAGTTTTACGTAATTATCACTCACCCTTCTGCCACTCTGCAATGCCACGATGCTGAAAAACTCCAGCTCTGCTGCAGGATCTGCTTCACTCCGGGAGGATCACTTTACACATTTCAATCACTCTCACAAATCACTATTTTTCACTTTCACTATTGTTTCTATGATTATACAATTAGTAAAAACCATAACAATGAGTTGCTCGTGATTGTCTCAACCACGGGCACTTTTTGGTGTACTCCATTCGTTTGATGAAGAAGAATGTCATCAATGATTGTCATTCCTTCATCTCTGATTCTTTGTTCCTCAACAGTTCGTCGATTCGTTCTTTGTTGCATAATTTGCAACAATCAAGGATTGAAGTAATAAAATTGGATGATTTTGTCGATTTCCTGACAATCAATTCATCAATTGTTCATTAAGTTCCCATTGTGATTATTTGAACAAATGAAAAAGTCCAACGGAAGAAGCATAAACACCTGCAGAGAACGGTCATCACCCTTCACTAAATTCCACTTCAAGATTATCCATAAATAAACAATATTTAATAATTTATCAACGCCATTTATCCACTCGTTTTGTCCACCCAGCATCTTCAACTTGATTAACACAAACACTCACTAACATTCCCCCACAATGTGTTTATCAATTTTTCTTCGCATTGTTTAAACAAAGAAAGAATGTTGAAAAATGATTTGTTGTCAACGTACATTTTCAAAAAGATCATCCTCGTGCCAGGAGTAAAATTACAAGTCACTTTATCCATTGTTGGAACGTGTGAGAACTGAGAAATGCTTTACAAACCGGTCGATATAATATCGTCGCGTCCACACGCCGTACCTACTCGCCGCAGACTGTTTAGAGAGAGAAAGAGAAACAACTGGGCGCCCCGCTAACCCCAGTATAATGACTTCATTGTTTACAAACGTATTCTCCGTTCCTCACATTGCGAAATAAACACTCAATCATCTATTTATTCACTCATTTCGTCCACTGAGAGTCCTCAACTTTATTAACCAAAAATTCACTGATATTCCTCGAAGAATTATTCAGGCAATCTCTCGTCTCATTGTTTAAACAAAGGAATAACGTCAAAAAATTATTTGTTGTCAATGTACATTCTCAAAAAAACATCCTCGTCGCACGAGTAACATCACAAGTCACTTTATCCATTGCTGGCTGGAACGTGTGCGAGCGCGTATGAAGGCTCCACGAAACAGTCGATATAATGGCCGCCCGCGCG